AAATAAGATGGTCTTTCTCTCTACTTTTCTTAGAGATCCTTGTAGAATCAGGTACCATTATACTCTGTGCCTGAACAGATACTTAAACCATGTTCCTTCTGCGAATCCAGTCTGATTTTATACAATCCCAGGTTATGAGTTTTAATCAAGACGGGTTGAGATCTTCTTCAATGTTAGATTCAGCTTTTCTGGGAATTTTCTTTATGCAGATGGCCCCAGGGAGACTCGCTATTGGGAAGGAGGGCTGAGGATAGAGGGGCGAGTGGGAAGTGATTCCTCATGTCCTTATCAAGGAAGATGAGACCAGGAGAGCAGCATGGATTTGGTAGGAAAGTGCCTGGTGGAACAGACTGCAGCCATGCAGCTGCCCACATATCTGAGATCTTGCTCGCTGTTTAATAAAAATGTGGTGTGCCTTTGTGCCATTGAATTGTACAAATAAATTATTATTTTGACTTCCCTAGAATAAAAAATTGCAATAAGCTCTTTTTCTACTGGTAGGATAAACCAATAAATAGATATATGAACTCTTATATAGCTCATTTTTATAGAGGTGGATATTATTTTAGCTATAACTATATAATAAGATAAAAATAAACATCTGTACCTTATATGACTCTGTTATTAAATCAGTGAGTATGAAGAAGGTTTCAAGGACAATGGATTTGTTTCTGGAACAAAGGAGACAATAAGGAAAAAAGCGATGACTGGCAGCCTGATAAAGAGCCCAACTCTATTAGAGTTTGCTGGCTTTTCTCCTTTCCCACAACATCTGTCTTAGATTATTATATATAATACCTACTTACATACAGCCATACTTTTGACTTCCTCAAAAGTCATATGAAAATATGGAGAACTTTTATAATTGATAAGATTTCAGAAAGCTGGCTTAAGTTAGTGGTCTTTATTGAAGATACATTTTAAAATTTAAATGCAGTATATTATAATGCAATGCCTGTTTTAAAACACATAAGTGCAAAGAAATACAATTGCATTTGTCCATTTAATTATCTATTAAAATTTAAAATGCACCTATTATTTGAACTACTCTTTCATGTCTAGTCATCTCTCCTGTATATATACTGGCAAAACTGCACAGAAATATATGAAAGGATGTTTATTGCAACATTATGACTGCAAAAAAAAGGAGCTTATCTAAATGTCCATTTGTACATTTTAATGCCTGTTAAAATGAATTATGTTTCACCCCTATAATGCAATATTATGCCATCATTGAAAAATAAAATATTGATACAGAAGGATGCCAAGCTTATCTTCAGGGGAAAAAAATCAAGTGATCGAACAGTGTGCATAGTGTAAAACTATTTGTGAACTGAAAAGGAGATATGTGTATTTATGTATATATATACATCTACTTGAATATCCATAGAGTATTCCTGACATGGTGCACAAAATGTGCCAAAAATGCTTACCTGTTAGAAGGCAACTACAGCTTGAATAGTATATATGAGAGGGGTATTTTTACTCTTCACCAAGTACCCTCTTAGTTCTTAGAATTTTTGCCCAGTGTGTACTATCTAAAAGTAATAGGTAAAATAATGATTTAAAAAAATAAAAATCTATTAAATTTATTTAGATTACATTTAATATAGAGTTATGTAAATTAAGGAGGCCCTTTAACATTAAAACCTCTATCTTGGACTAAAAAATAGTTCTAGATATGTTAAAGGAAAAATATTTTCATTACTTCTTAGTATAAATAATGATTGATTTATGGTGAATAATCCCTGAAAGATATTACAACATGAGTAAAAATGAACTTCTACCACTATTTATAAAAATTACACATACCACCAGTTGAGAGCCTCAAAATTTGAGTTACAGTAACCCAATCTGAAAAGAACTTTTCCCCTGGTGTTGATGCTTCTTTTGAAGTGTCATGGAAACATTTGATAATGATTCAGCCATACTGAGTGCTTCATTTCATTTGCAGTGTTTGGCTTTTATGCAGATGGGTCCTTGATCATATGCTGTTTTTGGATTGACGCCTTGTTTTTCCAAATCAGAGATTTGTGAAAGATTGTTTTCCATTATTGGATCATCTATTTAACTCTCCCCAGTCTAATGGAGGAATATTTTGCAATAAAAAATAATAGCTGGGCCTGGTAGCACACACTTGTAGTTCTGGCTACTTGGAAGGCTGAGGTGGAAGTATTGCCTGAGCCCAGCAGGGCGACAGCTGGAGTGACTGTGAGTGTGCCACTGCACTCCAACCTGGGCAATGGAGTAAGACTCTAACTCTTCAACTCAAAAAAAAAAAAAGAAATTAATTCCTTGTCCTTTTATAATTTAATATGATGTTTCCTGGGTGTTTTTTTATAACTTTAGTAATTTATAAAATGCTTTGCCATTGTCTGTCCCTCCACATACAATGACTAACAACTTCCATTGTTTCCTATCTAATACCATAATTCTTGTGATTATCTTCGTTTTTACTGTCTTTATATGTTACTGTTCACTGTGAGCCTTAGACTTCTGAGAGGATGAGGTCAGATTGGGTTAGTCACATTCCAGAACAGGGAAACACAGTGTTTCCTCTATACACTCATTGACTGCTCACCTCATTGACTGTCAACCTTTCGTGTCTGGCCAATGCAAAGCTAGAGTGTTGATCTCTGGTCCAGTCAGATGTGTTCAGGAAATCAGGGTCATCTGAATCATAATGTCTTCTCATGCACTTAGAATCTATGGACAGTTCACCAACAAAAGATATTTTAACATCTGTTAAATTTACCTTTTGTCCGACTCAAAAATTAGAGTAGAATAGAAATAGAATAGAATAATAAGCCAGCCTTGGGAAGTTTAAATTTGCATCGCATAACCCACAGATGCTAGGTTCAAGTCATAAATAGTATAGGGGAAAGGACACAGGCCTTGCATTCACATAAAGTTTTCATCCCTACTTAACAACTTCCCAGCTGGACGACCTTGGCCCTCTGCATAGGAGATTGTGGCCTCCTGTGTTGAATGGGGTTAGCAATATTTCTTTGTAGGATTGATAGGAGGATTTATTGTGGTTGTTTATGTACACTAAGTAGAACACTAACTGATACATAGCAATTTTCTAATTTTAAAGATGTGGGGTACAATTCAGGTTTCAGTACCTAAGTCGTTATCATACAAGTGAAGTTTTGGTCTCCCATTGGTCCTCACTTCACCTGGTTTGGCATCAGGTATGCTTGTTAATGTTCTGTGCTCTCCTGTCCCCTAGGCAGTGATCTGCTACTGCCAATCTCTTTGATGTAGTATTATGATAAATGTTCAGAGTTTACTTATGGGTGAGAACAAATGGTACTCAGTTCTTTGTTTCTGTGATAGATGACTGAGGATACACAGCAATTATAATAGTAGCAAACATTTATTGAGTGCTTACCATAGGCTGAGCATTATGCTAAATCCTTTATGTCTATTAGCTCATTTAATCCTTATGAAGTTCTATGAGATCATTATCCTCATTTGACAGATGAGGAAACTGAGGCACAGACAGGTTCTGTAACTTGCTTAAGGTTACACAGCTCTTAAGGGAAGGAGTCAATAGTTCATACTGTTAGCATCCACACTACACTGACCATCCTCATGAAGTCACCCTACATCCTAGTGTCCAGGACTTGTTTCTGCCCCCAAGTCCCCATGGCCTTCTGGGTTCTATCTCATGTCCGACCCAGATGTGAAGTCTATCTTCTCCATCAAATCCAACCACAACCTTGAGTTCATGATACTCAGTGACTCCCCAGAGAATTTGGATGTGTCATAGGGTCAGGGATTGCATCGCGTGTCATTCATTTTACCCACTTTCCATCGCTCCCCAAAGCTGAAGTTTACCAGCTTCTGCAGAATTATCTCATGAGCAGCAGTAATTTTAGGCCAGGTTGCTTTCCTTGGAATTCCTATGAAGAAAATTTATTCAGCCCTGTTAAATGTCCATGTCTTTCTGTTATCTCTCTTCTATTTGTGAAGCACTGAATATTTTAAGATGGGTTAGTCCTTAAGCCAGTCTGTGAAGTAGGTAACATTTGCCCCTTTAAGCCATCACTATTTCACTCTTTTATATCTTAGTATTTCAATTTAATTAGAAGCTTTCAGCTACTGAAGAAATAGAAGATTAGTGGGAGAATGGGAAAAGGTCATTTAGAGCAGATCTTCTCAAACTTTAATGTGCCTATGAATCACCCAGGGACTTGTTAAAATATAGATCCTGATATAGTAGATCTAGGGTGGGACCTGAGATTCTGCATTTCTAACAAGCTCCTAGTGATGTCAATGCTTCTGGTCTCTGAACCACACTCTTAGTAGCATGTATTTAAAGGTGACACCCTAAAGAGGAGATTTACCTTACTACCATTTCCAGGCACATGTAATCCAAATAAATGAATCTCTTTTGGCAGAATTAGTTAATGCCATTGGCTGCTAAAGGAAGCTTCACAATTTCAAACCCTACTCATAAACTGCTTACCAGTAAAGCCATTGCTGTTTTGGAAAAGATTAGTATAAACTTGTCGGCTTGGCAGTCAAGTTTTGACATAAATACTGTAAAAGCATGCATATTTCTCCATCAGTATAATTTAATGACTCTCAAATGATTTATATTCATTTTTATGTAGCTTTATGTGAAAGAACATTGTTTTGCTGCTACTCAAACTTGAGTTTCTTGTAACTGGGGAAATAGCTGATTAAACTTATTCTGGTGCAAGGGCCACATGTGTATTTCTATATCTGTTTCTTTGTTCGTCTAATATCACCTACATAAAAGGAAAGTTAAGTCAACTTTTATTTCCCTGTCTTTTGATTTGGAGTCAGTTCACTAGGAGTGTTTATGAATAATTCTGTTAGAAATGGTTTTATAATGCTAATCTGATTAATGAAATATTGTACAGGGCTCTAGATATGGAGGTGCAGTGTGAGTAGAAACCACCTGTGAAATGATGCAGCTGATTCTCCTTGTGATGGCATAGGCTTACATCCTTTATTCCTGTTTCTAGGGAGGAGAGCACTGTTACTACCAGGGTCATATCCGAGGAAACCCTGCTTCGTTTGTTGCATTGTCAACATGCCATGGACTTCAGTAAGTGTTCAAAAAATTATTTGTATTGTTAATTCTTTCAGTGACTTATTTTCTTTTTAATTAATGCACCATAGTAGAAATCACTACTTTGTTTCAAGATACAATTTTAAATTGGCGATGGATCTGATTTTTTCTCTTTTGTATTTTATAGAACAAGCAGATGTTAAATTAGAGTTGCAGAGAACATAAACTTTGGAATTATAACATGATACCTCATAGTGATATCTGAAGCATTTTTCTAGTTTCATCTACATTCAGACAGTAGTCGTTTCTCTTTCTTTGGCTGTTTAGCCTCTTGATTCCATTTCTATCCCTTCTTCTCCCTGATGTTAGTTTTTATGGTTTCTAGGAATAATAGAAATCTTGGTAGATTGGATGTACCAAGAGTTTCCGAAAGGCTGCAGGTGACCTCACAAACGCGTGTGTTTTAGCCCTTTGTTTCAGTCAGTGTCACACCTAACCCATAGCACATTTGTGGAGGGTCTGTCTTTCTCAGAGATCTCCAAGGAATAGAGTTCATCCTTCCTTGGGGCCTCGCTTCCTTTCTCATAACCTTTATTATCTAAGAGTGTTTGCTGATGTTTAACATGGGAATACATCCACTTCCTCCGTCCTGTCGATAATGATGATACACAGTTGGCCATCTCTTACTTGTTTTGTCACCCCTTATTAAGTTACCGTGTCATTCTTCAGCATTCTATTTAGACCACATTATCCCATTTCCTTCTTGTTTGTTTTACTTTTTTGGCAAAGAACAAGTCAGCACTTTAGTTCTGTGAAGTTTTAGGGGAAAACTCTAAAATACTTCCTTTCTGTTACCAAGTTAGAGGTATGACTTCTTACCTAACAAGCAGTTATTGAGTATCTGCTGGGTGCCAACCACTGGGAATATTAAGGTGATTGAAACACAAGTTCTGAAGCTCATAGTCTTGGAGGGGGAGGCCAAGTCTAGCCCAGCTTCCTGCAGTAGAGTGTGATAGGTTTATTTGTTTTCTCTGAAAGAGGAAAACAGAGTGGGAAAAGTGCAAGAGGAATGTTGTCATTTTAGAAGAGGTGACACTTTAGGTCTCCAGAGATATGTCACCTGAAGATGGTAGAATGCAATAGGCTTTGTTAATATTAACCAAGGGAAGGGGGTTAGAACAACAGATCTTAGATTTAGGAAAGAGATAATGGGCAAGGCCAGAAGGTTTAGCTAGTCTACCTAAGTAGATCCTCTGGTTAGGATCTGGGAGTATGTTAGTCATAAAGAAGAGTCCAAAGATGAATTACATAACCAGAGAAGGGAGGCAATGTGACTGAGATTATGGAAGACTTCCATTTCCTTGTTGTTTGTTCTAAAAGACTATTTCACTTACTGTAAGTAAATGTATACATTTGGCCAGGCACGGTGACTCATGCCTGTAATCCCAGCACTTTGGAAGTCTGAGATGGGAGAATTGCTTGAGCCTAAGATTTTGATACTAGCCTAGGCAACATAGTGAGACCGTGTTTCTACAGAAAACAAACAAAAAAATTTAGCTGGGCATGGTGCATGCCTGTAGTTCTTTACTGGGGAGGCTAACGTGGAAGGATCGTCTAAGCCCAAGAGGTTGAGGCTTCAGTGAACTGTGACTGTGCCACTGCACTCCATCCTGGGCAACAGAGTGAGACCCCGACTTTTTTTAATTTTAAATACATCTTTGAATAAAGAGATTTTTTACAAACATGGAATTCATGCTTAATATCTGAGCCTCTGTTTTCTTAATAGGGAAAAGAAACATTGAAGTTCTTTTCAGCAATAAAATTGTTATATCTGATCTCAAGACAAGCACAGCTGTCACCTAGGAATAGTACAGTTGGACCTGTCAGCATTTGTGACAGCAGATGTATGTTGGAGGGAAGGGTGATATAAAAAAATGAGGGTTTTTTTTCCCTCTCTCTCTTCCTCTTAAAATCTCAATCCCAAATCACAGTGTGAGCATCTTGCTTGGTACTTGTTCCAATTTGCCTTCTGGTTTCCCAAATGGACTCAATATTGTATCAGAGAGAAGATACCACTGCCTTCTAAGGCACTAATTGACCTGAGAACCTAAGAATAATATCTTGCTACTAATTCTATTATAGTCATTTAAAGAAGAATTGAAAAATAACTTTTAGGAAATTTTATAGTAATTGGATCAGGTGTAGGACTCAGAATCCTGCCTCAGTTGTTTTAACTAAGTAAATTTGACTTCTACTTTAAGAAACTTTTTCATTTAAAACTGCACAAAAATGGAAAGATAACCCTTGTGTGTCTTAGAACATTGCACAATTGTGTACAGCCATTTTGGATTTTCTTAGACTTTTATATTGGATAAATATATTTTTGTATTGGTTTGTTATTTATTATTACTTCTCATTTGATTTTACCTCTGAACAAAAATTGCTGGAAGAAATATTTTGATGGGATATTATTAAATACTCAATAATGTATGTTGTCTCAATTATAGTGATTTAGAAATGAGATATATTATTTTATCTGTGATATTCTTTATAAACGACCAAGCATATATTGAGATTTTTTTTTTCTTTTTTCGGATTTATTGAATTCAGTTGAAGAACATTAAGGGGGAAAATCAGGTTCATATGTCTTTTCCATAAAGAATATGCAAGGGCACATTTCTTCAAATTTAAAAGACTAACAGGCATTATTTTGTTTTGGTATGTTTGATGTTATGACAAAATCCTGTAACTATGGGAACCTTGAAGAATGGAGTCAATTCATGAGTTTATTGCCCTCTTGTGGAAATTTGTAAGAATGACAGTTTCTTTTCAAAACCTTGTTTTAATGCAGCCTTTTAAAAATTATGCTTAACTGGTCTGTGATAACTTGGTTCTAGCTATAGGTTTTTATCAAGTATATATTGTTATGGACTCAATATTAGTTAGAATTCATATGAATAAAACAAAAAGGTGCCAATCCTCAAACAAAACAAAACATGTATTTTTTAGTTATTAAAGAATTAATAATGGCATATTATATAGCAATCCAGATTCTTCTAAAATATAGTGTTAGAATGTTTCATTCCTTCCCTCCCTTCCACTTTCCTTCCTTCTTTCATTTGTCTTTCTCTCTCTCTCTCTCTCTCTCTCTCTCTCTCTCTCTCTTTCTCTTTCTCTCTCTCTCTCTCTCTCTTCAGGGTCTCAATTGTGCTGCCCAGGCTGGAGTGCAGGGGCGCTATAATGGCTCACTGCTTCTTTGAACTGCCGGGCTCAGATGATCCTTCTACCTCAGCCTCCCAAGTAGCTAAGACTGCAGACATACAAACCACACCTGGCTAGTTTTGTTGTTGTTGTTGTTCTTGTTGTAGAGACAAGGTCTCACTGTGTTGCTTAGACTGATTTTGAACTCCTGGGCTCAAGCAATCCTGCCTCAGCCTCCCAAAGTGCTGAGATTGTAGGTGTGAGCCATTGTGTCTGGGCAAGAATCTGTTTTCTTTACACTGTATGCGTGATGTTTAAGCCCAATACAAAGAAGTGTTTTTCCCATTGGACATTAACCTAATAAAGTACTATTTAAACAAAATAATCTATTTGCTACTTTGTTAGTGTTGCCATGTGAACTTCGGCAATTAGTGATGGTTTTATGTCATTTTCTAGATGGCTCTGGCCAGTTCTCAGCTTGTGTGCAGAGAATGTTCACTGCCACATTTGGTCTACTGTTTTGAAAAGATCCCCCCTCTGATTCCTTAGGCATACTATGTTGTCAGCAATATCTTATAAACTGCATCCATTTATCTTTAAATTCCAAGTGTTCTGTCATGCAAATTCAGAAAATACATGTGGTTAAAAACTGCAGATGTGAGAATAACCATTTTATGGGTATATAAAAGTTGAAGACATGTGGAAGATATTACAGCAGGAATGAAAGAATTTGGATAAAGGTTGAATGAATGTCATTATAATTATGTCTTAGAGAGGCCAACTGATTTTACTAAGGCATCAATGAAAGGCAAATACTATTCTATGTTTAATAGCTTGACTGTCATGCATTCATTTTTACCTACAACTGAAAAACTACTGCAGAAGGTCACGACAGCTTTGCTACCTTCAGTTGCCTGAATGATAATATTCCGGTAGAACTAGACTGACTGCTCTTCCTCATGGTCAGTCAGAAATGAGAGGCAAAGGGCTGGAAGAAAATGCAGTTTAAGTCGGGCTCGGTGGCTCAGCCTGTAATCCCACGCCTTTGGGAGGCTGAGGTGAGTGGATTGCCTGAGCCCGCGGGTTCGACACCTGCCTGGGCAGCGAGACCTCATCTCTACAATAAATCAAAAAATCAGCCGGGCGTGGTAGCGCGTGCCTGTAATTCCGCCTACTTGGAAGGCTGAGGCGGAAAGATCACCAGAGCCCAGCAGGTCGAGGCTGTGGTGGCCGGGAGCGGCCACTGCACTCCAGTCTGGGTGACAGAGTGAGACTCCAACTCAAAAAAAAAAAAAAAAGAAAATGCAGTTTATTCTGTAGCCAAGGTAACAGGGAACAAGTCCACATCATTGCTGGAACTCATTCAAGGAGACACACTTTTATTTTCAGTATTTATAATTAAGCATTTGGCTCTTATCTACCTTAACTAACAGGACCAATGTATAATAAGACCATCACTCAGTGTCTTAGCTGGTTTTTTTGTGTGTGTGTGACCATTGACACATACTAGTATTCAGATAACATCTGAAACAGCAGGCTACATTAAAAAAATTTTTTTTTAATTTTAAATATGTGGGATACAATTCAGGATTAGGTATACAAATGTTCATTACACAGCTACTCTTGTTGATGAGGTGTGTCCCCCTACTTTTTTAAAAACTAATCTTGCTTTTTTGAGGTTACCTTTCCTTTTAATAATTCTCGTATACTACACTTTCTGTTCTTTAAGAATTATTACACATAAAACAATAAGTGTGTAATATATTACATCTGACTAATGGTTAAAGTAAAATTTAAACATTTAAAGTTACATAGGAGAGGGAGTGTACACTCAGAAGGTTAATTAATACTCCTAAGGATCTAAAGATTTTAACAAAGTCCTGGACATGGCACTTTGGAGGAGTTCGGAGACTTATCTAAATTTTAGCTACTTTTTTAAAGTACACCCTGCTCCTCCATGCTCTGTAAATTTCTGGAGGTCTGGTGCCAGGTTTTTTTAGTCACCAGCAGTTTTATTAGATAAAATCAGCCTTCAAGCAGGTTTAGAGCTCTTTAACAAAGGAAGGGAGGAGGGGTGTAACATCCTGAGGGCAGTACAAAGTGGGGAAAAATGTATACTTTTAAATCTAAGCAGCCTCTGTATTACCTGATTAATCATTGTCAAATAAAAAAGGGATGAGTTTCTATTATTTTAACAGTTTTCTTTTTTCCTTTTTTTTTGTTGTCTTAAACAAATAACCCTTGATTTTTAGCCTATTGCAATAAGATAAGTTTCTTCAGCATCATAAGGGACTTGAACTCAGTAGAAGGGACATGCCCTCCTAAGAAGAGTGACTATCAGGATCTCACTGAGTGGGAGTTAAGGCCATTTGTAGATTTAAATGCTCTCCAGAGGGTGGTAGTCACATCCAACCTAAGATGTCCAAAACCGAACTCTTGATTTGTGCCCTGCACCCTGCTTCTGTGACCTGCCTCGTTAGGCCCTTCCTGGAGCCTTTTTCATCTTGTTAAATGGCTCCTCCATCTTCCAGTTGCTTGAGTCAAAAGCCTGGAGTCCTTGCTGACTCTTTCTTGCATACTCCCATTTCAGTCCATCAACAAATTCTGTTGATTCTACTTTCAAAATATATCCCAAACTGACAAATTCTCACCACCTCCACCATTATTTCTCTTATCTAAGTCACCATATTCTTTCATTGGATTATTGCAATAACTTCCCTGCTTCTATCCTTGCTGTCCTAAAGATTATTGTAACACAGTAGTTGGGGTGATCATTTTAAAACTTAAAGGAGATCGTTTCCTCTCTGCTTAGAATGTTGCAGTGGCTCCTCAACTCTCTTGGAGAAAAACCAGGCCCTGAGTATAGCCTACTTATAGCCCTATGACCCCTCTGATCACGTTGCCTAGAACTTTGCCCCTCACTGACTCTACTCTAGCCAACCGTCTTCTTGCTGTTCCTGGACAACACCAAGATTTTCTTATCTTGGGCTTGCATCTGAAATGTCCTTTGCTTTGATATCCTTATGATTCATCCCTTGACTTCATTCATTTCTTTGCCTAAGTGTCATCTCTGTGAAGCCTTCTTCTGAACCCTTATATGTCAACACCCAGTTCTTTGATACCATTACTGCTCCTAATCTTTCATTTAAATTAATTGCTTTAATTTCCTTCCCAGAATTTGTCACTATCTAATGTACATTTACTTGTTTATTATATAGTTATTGCCTGTTCTCTCAGGAATGCATGTCAGTACCATCAGGACAACAGTAGCGTCTGTCTGTTTTGTTTGCTACTATACCCCTAGTTTCTAGAACAGTGCATTGTAGGTGCTCTATAAACATGTATTGAATGAAGGAATGAAGGTGGGTAGCAGATTGCAAATGGGTACCTCATGGACCCATCTGCCTGGACTTTATTCCTACCTCTGCTCTTGCTGGCTAATGTGTTACTTCATCTCTTTGGGCTTCAGTTTCCTTACCTGTAAAATGAGGATAGTCATTATACCTCCCTCGTAGACTTATGGAAAAGATTAAATGAGTGTAAAGTATTTATCTCATGTCAGGTTGTTCAAATGTGTTAGCTCTTGTTACTAGAGCATCTAACAGATGTGTATTCACTAGGCCATTCTCAGTATAGTCCCTGACAACCTACATCAGGAGCACCTGGGATTTGTTTAAAATGCAGATTCCTGGGTCCCAGCCCAGAAATCTGGGGAGGGTCCTGAAAGACCTGCATTTTTACAAGCTTTCCAGGCGACTTTTTGCATATTAAAGTCTTAGAATTTGATTGCTTGAGCCCGGGAATTCAAGACCAGTCCGGGCAACATAGCAAGACCTCACTTCTATAGCAAAATAAATAAATAAAAATAAAATAAATAAATTAGCCAAATGTGGTGGTGCTCATTTGTAGTCCCAGCTACTTGGGAGGCTGAGGCAGAAGGATCCCTTGAGCCCAGGAAGTTAAGGCTGCAGAGAGCCTTAACTACACTCAGCCTGGGCAACAGTGAGACCTTGACTCAAAAACAAAAACAAACAAAAAATAAAGTCTTAGAATTATATGTTAAAGGTAGGAGTAATGGACAATATCTAGTGAGTGACTGTCCTTAGCGTGAAGTTGCATCAGGATGAGGAGACCCTACTTATGGGGATTCAGAGGAAGATGCCTTTCTTTCTCAGTGGTGTGTATGTGGTGTGTCTAGTGGTGATGGGTGAGACTGGGAAATGGTCACTGAGAAGTAAGCTGGTCCTCTGGCTGCTGCTAATTTTAAAATGAGCTTGTTCTGAGGAGCAGGTCAATAGCCACACCTAATTACTTTCTTGTACTTGTCAGTGGGATGTTCTGTGATGGGAACCACACATATCTCATTGAGCCGGAAGAAAATGACACTTCTCAAGTAAGTGCTCCTATTTGCTGTGACAAATGGAAATATTTATGCTGAGGGCTTTTTTTCTCTCCACTTCATTTCATTTTCATTTTTTAAGGATTAATATAGTAAATATATATATAGATGCTCCTTGACTTATGATGGGCTATGTTCCAATAAACCTATCATAAATCAAAAAATTGTAAGTTGAACCATTGTAAGTCCTGATGCTCCTCAACTTTTGATAGGTTAAATCTTAAACCCATTGTAAAGTTGAATAATTATAAGTTGTAAACTGTCTGTATATTTTAATTTAAATATTGAATAGTAAAAAAACCCACAAGTTTTGTAAACAAAAACACAAAGTTTTGTTTCTTCCTCTTTTATGCTAGAAATATAATATTTTTCTCTGAGGTGTTCTAAAGCTTTTGTTTCTATCTCCAACCTAATGTGCTATGATCTATCTTAGTCTGATTGGGCTGCCATAACAAAATACCATAGATTGAGCTGCTTAAACTACAGAAATTTATTTTATACAGTTTTGGGAACTAGAAGTCCAAGATCAAGGTGCCAGCAGGATTGGTATCTGGTGAGGATTTTCTCTTTGGGTTGCATATGACTGCCTTCTCACCTGTCTCCAGATAAAGTCATGCTTGGGGACTTCAACATGGAATTTTAGAAGACATAAACACTCAGTCCATTACAAATCAAATCCACAGATATTTGATTTTTCACCCTCTTCTCTTTATTAGATTTTAGATTTTTCTCTATTGTGCATTGCTTTTAAGGCTGTATAAAGAAACCTAGATTTTTAAAATTCTCTCTCTCATTTTCCACAAATTAGGAAAGAATTAAATTGATATTATAGACTTTCTAGCTCCATGCAACTTTGGCCAAATGCTTAGAGAGGTAAATAATTTCAAGAAACGCACATTGTTTTGTCACCCTTAAGCAGTCTTGTTTGGGAAAACTCTCTATGTTGTATATTATTTTCTGGGTACCCACTGCTGCCTGTCCTGTCACTTTGCTTGGCAGTGTGATTTTTTATGGCAATATCATGAAGCTTAACTATTTATACATTCGATTTTCTTTTTAATAATTAGATAAGTTAGATGAAATTATATTTGAATGTTTATTAATTTCTCTTAGAAGAAAACTGTGACTTTCTATCTCATTTTTTTCATAGACATCTTTCAGCAAAGTGATATATTTTTCTTTTTAATAGAACTTTGTGTAACAATTGGGTTTTAGAGCAGCTTCCACTTTGGGCATCAGCTTATATCAGTCATTCTGCTCCCCTGTACCAGAAAGATTGTTAGCTCTACTGTCTTTGCCTACCAAAGCCATCTGACTTTTAAAAGGGGGCAGGGATCTATGAAAGGAACTAGTCATAAAAAGCATTAACCCATTATCCCAGATGTCTTGCTTGTCCTTGGGGGAATAGATCCATGCGTTTATTTTCCATTACTGCAAGCTTTGGCTTCTCTGTCTGTGAAGGCATTTTGCATTTAATTGAATATTGCTCTGGTATTGGGAGAATACAGGAGTGAGTAGGAAGGATTGTGCAATGGTTCATCACCTCTCCAAACCTGGGAGCTACAGTTTCCTGAGGCTGTAGATAACTGGTTGTACATGCTTAATCTCTGTTGCTTGTGTCATTCCAGGAGGATTTCCATTTTCATTCAGTTTACAAATCCAGACTGTTTGAATTTCCCTTGGATGATCTTCCATCTGGTATGCTGTTCATATAGTGACTTTTTAAAAAAGAGGATAATGTCAATGATTCATTTAATGCTTTAGAGCTAATCTATATGTGAAATATTATTAACCCACATCTGCTCATGACATTTTTAGAGGGAAAGCCAAGTCACATCAAGGGAGAGAATAAATACAAACTGGCCTTATGGATTTGGAAAGATGTGGCTTAAGCATATTGAAGGGAAACTCAAAAAAAAAATTAAGGTTCAAGTAAGGTATTAAAGGAGAAACAAGGTTAGAGCAAGAATTGAACTGTATAGGTGAGACATAAAAATCCACTCTTAGTGAATTATTAGTTTCATAAACGTAGGGATGAACTTTTAATCATTTTTCCACTTGTTGTTTTCCTCATCTCTTTTTTTGTCTGGCATTTTTAAGAAAGAGGTATTATAGACTAAACTTTATTATTTTTATGTGCTATCAGTGAAATGAGTCTTTTCTTTTCAAGTATGTATGTAGATACATTTATGTATAGATGCTGATTTGAGAGCTGCTTCCAAGTCTTCACATGACAAGAAGGGCAGCACATGCTTACTTTGCCCTCCTTAGCAGAGCAGTGCTTATGCAGGATACACTTGTTTTTGGCTATATTGGACTCATTCATTTTCTCCTGAAAGCAGGGTACACTGGGATATATGGTGTGGTGATACGTCCTACCCTAATTAGTGAATGCTGATTATTCTCATTTTTAATCTTATTTTAATCTTTGCAATAGTTCTGTAAGATTGGTATTATTCCCACTTTATGGATGAAGAAACAGAAGCTCAGCTGGTTTGTCTTTTACAGGGACCCACAGTTAGTAATGGATGAAGTTGAGTTTTGGGTTATGACACTATGAAAATGTACTCTGGGAGAAAGGCACAAGGGGACATTGGAAAATTGCCAACCTGAGAGCAATCCTAAACTAATGCTGAGGAAATCCTTATCTCTTCCTCAGAAAATGAAATAAGTGTTTTCTAACGTCCCTTCCTCTCTAAAATAAGTTTATAACTCCATGGCTTCTTAAAATTCTCCAAAAGAGAGAGAAACACTCTCCCCATCTCACCTGCTGCCAAAGGAATAGAAGATTTAATAGAATTCAATTTTTTGAGGCTGGGCACAGTGGCTCACGCCTGTAATCCCAGCACTTTGGGATGCCGAGGCGGGAGAATCACTTAAGCCTAGTTCAAGACCAGCCTAGGCAACATAGCGAGACTTCATCTCTACAAAAAAATCAAAATATTAGCTAAGTGTGGTGGCACATGCCTGTAGTCCCAGCTCCTTGGGAGGCTGAGGCAGGAAGATCACTTGAACCCAGGAATTCGAGGTCACAGTGAGCCAAGTTTGGGCCACTGCACTCCACCTGGGCAAAAAAGCCAGACCCTATCTCTAAAAATAAAAACAAAATTAACAATAACAGAATTCAGTATTCTGAAAAATCTACAAATGGGTGTATAGATGCTCTTATTTCACACAGACTATTTAGACTGTTCCTTCAGTGACATTATGAAACTTTTTATAGTCCCTATTATGGGAAGAAAGTAAATCATGACTACCTGCCTGGGAGTAAAACTACAATTTAATAAGTGTTCCTGGAAGCAATCAACATTAATTAATATTTAAAGTAATAGGTGTAGGGGAGGGACACAACATCAATAACAGTACCTCATCTCAAACCAGACAAAGTGGGGACTAAAAGGGAGGCCCAAAATTTACCTGTACGATGAACACTTTTATACCCAATCCTGAATTGTACTCCACATCTTTAAAATAAAAAAAGAAGTTTTTTCATAAAAAATAAAACATTAAAAAAATAAAGTAATAAAGATTCTCACTCCTCAAGACTTGATTGTAGGTTTGCTATGATATAACCCTACAATTTTTTAAAGACGTTGTTCCTTTACTGCAGAAACTTTATAGGTGACTTGGCAGTTTTGCTGTTATTGAAATGATTTTTAGATATATTCTTTGATAACTATCAGTCTCAGTTTCTAGTTTTCTTTTTTCATCAGAAGTTGGCACTGTCAATTTTAAGAGTGGCATTTTTCTCTCAAGATTACTTATGATTTACTATGATACATTAGAAGAAAACATGAAATAGACAAATAAATGACAAAACTGTAATTTCTGTGTCATATCCTCAGAAGTAAGCTTATTTATTTTAGGTTGAATAAAGTTTAACTGGGTTGTGCATTATCAGCACCATTATCTTGCTGTATGTTGTTTTTTCCAAGAGATAGAAATATGATCTGAGATAGAAACTTGTTTAGCCGTAGAGGCTTTTGTTTTACATGGCATATCTCTCAGGACTAGTGTTTCTAGGAACACATTTTGGAAAAAACTATTTCTGATGGCTCCCTTAGCATCCCGTTTTAAACAAATTATATGCAATGAAAAGCACAAATCTGGTGTACTACTCAATACATTTTTATATACACACACTCATGCTGAGTATAGAACATTCCCATTACATCAGTAACTTCTTTTGTGCACTTCCTAGTCAGTTCCTCCTACCTCTGCAATTCCTTTTCTGCCTTTTTTTTTTTTTGACCATAGATTAGTTGTGTCTGTTATAGAAGTTCATACAAATGGAATCATGTAGTATGTCCAGCTTCTTTTCTTTAGCATATGCCTGTGAGATTTATGTTGCTAGGTGTAGCAGTAGTTCATTCTTTTACATTATTGAGTATATTGTATTGTTGGAATACACTTCCGTTTTTTATCTCTTACATTGATGGACATTTGGGTTGTTTCCAGTTTTTGGCTATTATGAGTAAAGCAGCTTTGAACATTCTTGTGCAAGTCTTCTTTTGTGGGCACATATTTTCATGGTAATATCTAGGAATAACATTGGTAAATATCTAGGAATAACATTGCTGGACCAAGGGATAGTTATATGTTTGACTTTATGACAGTGTTCATAAATTTTAGCATGCATCAGAATCACCTGGATGACTGGTAACCACAGATTGCTTTTCCTATCTCCAGAGCTGTTAATTCAATATATTATGGGTGGATTTTGAGAATTTACATTTTCAAGTTACAGGTGATGTTGATGCTACTTGTTTAATCAAACTTTGTAACCACCATTTTATGAAAAATTGCTGAATCTTTTCTCAAAATGATTATATTTGATATTTGCATCAGCTCTGTATGAGAGTTTTAACTACTCCACATTTTGACCAATATGGACTGTGTCATTCTTTACTTTTAACTATTATTCCTAGTACATGTGGTCATATCTAACGTTGGTTTAAATTTGTATTTTTCTTATGAATAATGATGTGTAGATAGCCATTAATCATACTCTTTATAGTTTATATTTTCTGCTTATTAGCCATTAATCAAAATATTTATATTTTTGTTATTGAGTCATAGGAGTACTTACATATTCTGGACATAAGGCCTTTTGCCTGATATGTCTCATGAATATATTTAGAGTCTTTGACTTGCTTATTCACTTACTTTATGTTGCCTTGTCAATGAGCAGATGTTTTAATTTTGATGAAGTCTAATGTCAGTTTTTATGATTATTACTTTCTTTCTCCAAATAAATCTTTTCCTGCCCCAAGTTGTGAAGATATTTCCCAATGTTCTCTTCTAAAAATTCTATAGTTTTATTTTTTATGTTTAGACCTATGATCCTTCTCAAATTACTTTTTGTGCATGGTAAAAAGTAGAAATTGAGGGTTTTTTTTTTAAATATATGAATATTAAGCAATTCTAACATCATTTGTTGAAAAGAGTTTCCTTTCATCATTGGGTTGCTTTGATGTCTTTGTCAAAAGGTATTAAATGGATCTATTCCTTGATCTGTTTGGCTATTCTTATCACACTTTTTGCTTACCGTGGCTTATAGTTTTGAAATCAGATTACATAAATCCTTCAATTTAAAAAAATTTGTTTTGACTATGCTAGGTCCTTTGCATTTCCATACAAATTTTAGAACTAGCTTGTCAATTTTACAGCTCTTCTGGGATTTTGATTAGAATTGTATTTGGTGTATAGATTAATTGGAGAAAAACAGACATCTTATTACTGAATCTTCCAGTTCATGCGTATAGTATATCTCCTCATTTATTTAGGACTTTAAAAATTTCTCTCAGTGTTTGGTTATTTTTAATGTTGAGGTTATATTAGTTATTTACTGCTGTATTAGAAATTACTTTAAAATGTAGTTGCCTTAAGCAACAAACCTTTACTGCCTCACAGTTTCTGAGAGTCAGGAACCCAAGTGTGATTTAACTGGGTGTTTCTGGCCCAAGGTCTCTCATGAGTTTGTGATTTAACTGTCAGCTGGGATTAAAATCTCATCTGAAGGCTCAACTGGGAAGAATTCACTTCTAAGTTCACTTATAGGATTGGTGGCAGGCCTCGGTACCTAGCACATGGGCCTCTCCAGACGGTTACTCCCCACATGGCAGCTAACTTGTTCCAGAAAAGAGTAAGAGAGCAAGAGAAGAGAAAGAGAGAGGATGCCTAAGATGGAAGCCACAATTTCTTTGTTAACCTAATCTCAAAAGTGATATCCCATCACTTTTGCTATATATTAGAAACAAGTCACAAGGGCCAGCTTTCTATCAAGGGATGGTATTATTCTATGGGATTGTATTGTATTGGTTACCATTGCTGAGTAAATAGTTGCCACAAAATTTGCATCTTAAGACAACACATGTTTATTATCTCACAGTTTCTGTGAAATCAGGAGTTCAGGTATGGGCTTAGATTCTTCATGGGAGGTCAAAGTGGAAGGATTGCTTGAATCCAGGAGATTGAGGCTAGGGTAAGCCATGATCATGTCTCTGCACTCCAGCCTGGGTGACAGCATGAGACTCCAACTCAAAATAGTAGTAGTAGTAATAATAATGATGATGATGATGATGATGGTGATGCCCATTTTGACTGGTGTGAGATGGTATCTCATTGTGGTTTTAATTTGCATTTCTCTGATAACTAATGATGTTTAGCAGTTTTTCGTAAGCTTGTATTTTTTTTTT